TGCTAGGAATTTATGCTGATACGTACCTAGTACGCTGTTCGAATGTCCCTATCGATCAGTCAACAATTAGCTCAATCGGCACTTCTCGCAATGATATCTTGAGCCTGGAGTTACGGTACTGTATTTGAAGTACCGTACAGCCGACGATGCTACTTGTCTGCAATCCGTGGTTCAGCTTCGACACAGCGACGCGAGGTCTGCAGCAGCCTCTTCTCGTTCATCTCCAGAGCCTCATTCGTGTACTTTGCTATATAACTGGGTCTATGGTCAGGGCTATCGATCCATAGCCCGCCACTAACCGCCTAATCTCGGTGCGTCCGATCTCCTAAAGCCGAGTATTGGCACACTATATAACAAAGTCATTACATCTCTCCGTGCTCTACAGCGGCATTATTCTCCAAGGCGTGGCAGATCAATCGTACTGCTTCCAAAGCCTCATGGCCGCTTCTGTACATATCAGCCAAGGCGATGTCCAAGAAACTCATCTTCCTAATGGGTGCACCCACGTCGAGAAACCTTCAGTGGGATGAAGAGCAATTGCTTACAGAGCCCATCTTTCCCTTTAAGAAATCAAATCTGGATGACGAAGAGCCATGGCGCCTGACAGATGCTTACCCTGTCAAGTGGAGGCTCTTGCAATACCTGCGGACATCTCAGTTGCTACAAGGGACGTTCGACACGGGCTCCCAGGAAAGGGCCTGCTTCTTAGCAACCCGCGACCTCGCAGTCTCTGGCGGGATTTCGGCCAATGAACCAGAGGGTTCAGTACTCTCACGGTTCTACGAGCACTCCTTCACCGTGCATGAGGTTTCCGAGATTTCGGCGACCGGGGTTCGCTCTGAGAACTCTTTCCAAGGTAGCGGCATCTGGGTCAATAGTACCGAGAGTTCGATCGCAACAGTGAGCGAGAAAGAAGCGCCGAGCCCAGGGATTCTAGGCCAAACATCTGTCACCGACCTCCAGGCCATCCCTACGGCAGCATACTTGACGTCGATCGTGCCGCAGACCGTGACTGTGAACCTAGTCGTGTCAATCATCACCATCAACCGTCCACGCCGCATTGTGACACGGCAATGGAAGAAAGAACTGGACTTGGTCGAGGTTGTAGTGGGCGATGACACGCGAAGCGGATTTGGAGTAACCTTCTGGCTTCCTCCTGCGGACCAGGCACATGCGGCCGGTGATCGCAAACCTATCGAGGATGAACTTGGAAGGTCGCTGGCTACGCTGCGGCCTCGAGACATTGTTCTGATGCGCACGGTAGGACTGAGTTCCTTCCGCGAACGGGTATACGGGCAGAGCCTGCGAAAGGGAGTCACTAGAGTTGACCTTCTGCATCGACAGCGGGTCGACGCAAACGATGCAGGCGGTATTTACAGCACCAAGAGGCTACAAGAATTCCAACGGCGGCAGCAGCAGCAGCAGCAGCAGCAGCAGGGTCCTGCAGCCAAGAAGGAAGAGGATCTGCTGGTTGAGAAAGTCAGCAAGGTGCGCGAGTGGATCAGACGATTTGCGCCGGATGCGGTAGGCGGTGACCGTGGTAAGGGGCCCCTAACACGTGGGCTGGCTGGAAAAGCTACCACCACAAATAACGCACTGCCTCCGGATACGCAAGAGTATATTTAGAACATCAACCACAGTCTAGTAGGTAAGGGCATAGAGAGCTGAGAATTGCTCTTTCACTATTGCGCTTCGGACCATGCACATGATCGGACTGGCTGGTAACACGAACCGGGGAGAAGGCGGACAAAGCAGGAAGTCCATTGTCTGTCCTCAAACGCGATCATACATGGACGATCAGAAGATCCTGAAGCCTAGGAGTTGCTACCGGAGCCGTTTGGAAGTTTTTCTTGGGGAGGGGGGCGCAATGATTATGCCTCCTGCATACACTAATTGCTTCACTGCAACACTTGAGTAACAAGCTCAGCGCGGCTCTACAACAACCAGGTCTTGATGGCGAGCAAATGGGGGAATGCAACCCGAGGAGGGTTGAGCAGCACCCACATGCCGAGATGGTGAGGTGAACACAAGCGGCTGGGGATTATGACGAAAGTGTGCTGTAGATCATGCTAATGACCTTTTCAAGTGACCTCTTTGTGTAGTGGTAACTGCATGAGAGTATGGTACAATATCAGCACATGAAAGAACAAACCCGGCTATCGCTTATGGCCCTTTCCATTATTGCAACGCGTAATAATTAAGGATGGGAAGATCCAGGGGCAATTGAATAATGAAATGATTGCCCCACGAAGCACCTGATCCGGCCGCGACTAGTCCAGGAGTAATATCCGTACTTACCTGGTAGTATGGCTCTAGACCTGAAACCATACGCTGCCGGTACGGAACTGGTTTTAAATGGGGTGGCGTTGCCGCAAACGTGCGTTGCGGCCTGCCTTTGTGGTGGTTGAAACGCCAGCCAGCCAGTGGTCCGTTCGGTGCCTGGATCAGTGGACACTGGACACTACCTTACGTTGTAGTTAGCAGTGAGTTAGCATAAGGCTGCCCACACTTTATACTATTAAGGGGATGCACCGGGGGTGCATCGGGGGCCCTTCTCTGGCTGGCCCTTTAGCCCTTCTTTAACTTAGCCCTCCGGCCCTCCCCTCTAGTCTTCCATACAGCTCCATACAATCTTCATACAATATCCATACATACGCTTCCGTTACAGCCCCCTCCTCCCCCCCCAAAATCCACCCCATCCACCCCCATCAAGTCAAGTCGTAAAGTCACAATAGCCAGGTGTTCTCCTCTTCTCTCTCCGTCTTCTGTCTCTCTTGCGCTTTCTCTTATAACTCAATTTCCTCTCCTTTTCCACCTTCTTCCCCCTCCCCCTCCCCCTCCCCTCCCCCCCCGTCCATTCATTCTCTTCTCCATTCTGTTCTATTTCAATCTTATCACTCTTCCCCTGTCCATCTCGGATTGCTGGGTCTTACTTTGAACCAAACCTCGAAACATTTCCATTAGCCTTCTCTTTCCCCCGTGTGGGTTTCACATCTAATCTTTTGTACCTCGCCCATACTATTCTGCTCCGGTCACTCGTTTGGAGCAAGTCCCCCTCCGAACAACCCCCTCTACCCCCTTTCGCTCTAATACCAATTACACACTACCACAATCATGAAGGGTATGTACAGGTCTATAGATCTATGATCTATTCACGGCCATCAAGCGACTGCTTTATCTGACGAGTCACATTTTATAGCTCTTATTTTGGTCGGAGGTTTCGGTACCCGCCTGCGTCCTTTGGTGAGTAGCTCCCGCTCTGCCCTCCCCGCTGACGATCGTGACGTCCCAACATACCGATGCAGTCGGAATTTCTCGAAGATGCGCTTGCTGATCTCCGGCTCCTCCCTAGACCTTGACGCTTCCTAAGCCTTTGGTGGAATTCGCCAATCGGCCCATGATCCTGCACCAGGTGGAAAGCTTGGCTGCGGCAGGTGTCACGGACATTGTCCTGGCTGTCAACTACCGCCCCGATGTCATGGTCGCTGCCCTCAAAAAAGTATGATAATCCTTCACCACTCGAATAAAACGATAAACTCACAAAAGTTCTCTTTACACAGTACGAGGAACAATATAACGTCAGAATCGAATTCTCCGTCGAATCCGAACCCCTCGGCACGGCCGGCCCCCTGAAGCTGGCAGAGAAGATCTTGGGCAAGGACGACTCTCCCTTCTTCGTCCTGAACTCGGACATCATCTGCGACTATCCCTTCAAGGAGCTTGCTGAGTTCCACAAGAGCCATGGCAACGAGGGCACCATTGTTGTCACCAAGGTTGACGAGCCCTCCAAGTACGGTGTCGTCGTTCACAAGCCCAACCACCCCAGTCGGATCGATCGGTTCGTCGAGAAGCCCGTCGAGTTCGTCGGCAACCGCATCAACGCGGGTATCTACATCCTGAACCCCAGCGTGCTGAACCGCATCGAGCTCCGCCCCACCTCCATCGAACAAGAGACATTCCCCGCCATTGTGAAGGATGGCCAGCTGCACTCCTTTGACTTGGAGGGCTTCTGGATGGATGTTGGTCAGCCTAAGGACTTCCTTAGCGGAACCTGCCTCTACCTGACTTCCCTGGCGAAGCGCAACTCCAAACTGCTTGCTCCTAACAGTGAGCCCTACGTGTACGGCGGCAACGTCATGGTCGACCCTTCCGCCAAGATCGGCAAGAACTGCCGCATTGGCCCCAATGTAGTTATTGGCCCCAACGTTGTGATCGGTGACGGTGTCCGCTTGCAGCGTTGTGTTCTCATGGAGAACAGCAAGGTCAAGGACCACGCCTGGGTCAAGTCGACCATCGTGGGATGGAACAGCTCCGTTGGTCGGTGGGCTCGTTTGGAAAATGTCACCGTGCTTGGTGACGATGTCACCATTGCTGATGAAGTCTACGTGAACGGTGGCTCGATCCTGCCTCACAAGAGCATCAAGCAGAACATCGATGGTAAGCCTCAGCACAATTCACAAGGCCCAGTTCCCTGTTCACTAACAAATCATTCCCTTTAGTTCCTGCGATCATCATGTAAAACCTCCTCTTCACGCCGCCACGCCCCTTTTACACACCTCTATAAAATTCGCCCATCTCCCGAAAATGCTCAGATGCATAGAAATTTGAGTCGCAAACCTCTTTTTCACCGCTAGCTCTGCTCGACGACCTGGCTTTTCCCATCTGGATACAATTGCTTTCCCGACTCCCCTGAACAATCTCCCTTCTTGCGCTTTACTCCTTTTGTCTTGTGCTTGATTGACCGACTTTCGCATGCTAGAGGCCTTGATGGTGGAAGCGTGTCTTGACTCGAGTCTGTTCTTCTGTAAAACCTACTAATCTCATTTTTCTGCGGTCTCCGACCAGCACTTTGGCCCGATCTGGTTACTTCTTACGTCCAATTCCCGCTATTCCTCATTTTTGACTTCTTTTTGTCGACGATGCAGCTGCTTTTCAGCCTGTCGTTCTTCTTTAGTCGTCTCTCCGCCTTCTTCCGTACAACTTCGTTGTTGTTCTGCTTTTCTCGAAGGGGAGAGGGGGTGAGCACATGGACTAATACTCTTATCTGATTTTAATGACGTATGTGGACATGGGTTGTTTCAAGGAATGTAAATACGGGGAGGCAAGAATCCAGAAAACAGAAAAGAAACGAAAAGAAAAAAGAAAGCAAGATAAGAAGAGTATCACTGCGAAATGCGTTTGCTCAATGCTACTGTAGTCGTTAAGACTTGATTTCCATTATCGTAGATTATGTTATTTGATAATAACCTATACATTAGTAGGAATACACCAATATCGAAAGCATGATTTGTTACAGGATGAAACTCTCCCCCTTTCCCAGTGGAGTGGAATGTGTTCATCATCGCTCAGCGGCGGCAGCCTCCTTGCCCTTGCTTTGGAGTGCGAGCTGCTCCTCCTCGCGGTCAAGGATCCCCTCCCACTGCACGCGCAGCTCCTCCATGCGCCGCCAGCACTGGCGGCCCAGCTCCTCGAAGGCGACCCGCTCCTCGGCCGTGAGGTCGCGCGCCCCGCGCTTGCGGCGCCGCAGCCGGTCCGCGGCGACGACGGCGGGCCCGACGACGCCCCCGTGGCCCCAGCCGTCCACCTCGGTCGAGATGGCCGCGTCGCGGCCGCGGCGGTCGCACGAGGACCCCCACTTGACGCGGCCGCCGCCGGGGTGCGCGCGGTAGGGCGCCTCGGCGGCGTCCAGCTCCGCCTGGCCGCCCAGCGCCAGCCACACGGGCGCGCACGCCCCCAGGTACGTCCACATCGTGTGCCACGGGGAGCCCAGCAGGCGCGCCAGCCAGAAGGAGATCAGCATCGCGTAGATAAGCGGCAGCGGCAGCGGGAGGATCGCCGTGCCGCAGATGCCGGGGTGGGCGAGGTAGGTGTTTGGTTTGGTGGTCGCGGCCTCGGTTTCCAGGGTAGGAGGGGGGTTGTTTGCGTCTGTGGAGGATGTGTTTGAGGGCGTGGTGGAGCAGAAAGACTCGGTCCACGGGCTTGTGGACGGGAGATCGGCGGTCAGGGCTAGGATGTCGGTCAGGGCTTTGGAGGATTCGTAGGGGGCCGCGGTGCGGAGGCCCTGCAGGTCGTCGATGGAGAAGTGTCGGAGGGTGGCTTCGATGCTGGAGACCCAGATGATGCGACTGCTGCTGCTGCTGCTGCTGCTGCTGCTAGAGGCTCGACGGAGTAGAGGCATCAGGTTGTGCGCGAGCATGTAGTGGCCGAAGACGTTGGCGCAGAAGACGTTGCCCAGGCGGGGTTCCTGGTCCCGCTGGGTGGTGGTCTGCGGCGCCGTGAGCAGGCCGACGGGGGCGATCTTGTACCCCGGCCAGGAGACGGTGTGCACGAGATCCGTCAGGACCCCCCAGACGGCCTGCGGCCAGTTGAGGCCCGTCCAGCCGCCGATGCCGGCGTTGAGGATCACGGCGTCCAGCTTGGGGAGGGTGCGCGTGAGGCGCCGGGCGCAGGCGCGCGTCGACGGTAGGCTGGAGAGGTCGACGGTTTCCGGGATGAAGGTGATGCGGGCCCGATGCTCGGGGGTTTGTGTTGTCGTGCTCTGCAGGTGCTGCTCGAGACGCTGCTGGGTCTCAGTGCCCTTCTTCGTGCTGCGCGTGGTGAAGACCACCGCCAGGCTGCGGTGGTTGTTGGCGGGGGACTTGAGGAAGTCGTCGACGAGGCGGCAACATATTGAGAACCCGAGGCCACTGGTTTTGTGAGAGAGAGAGAGGTTATCAATGTTAGTGAGAGGGTCAATTGGAGTGCTGCTTTGTGGTGTTCTCGTCGTGTCGTGCTCTTCTGCTGCCGACTTTTGTGTTTGGTTGTGGGCGCGGCGGGATAAGGGGCCAGGGAAGCTTAGGAGCTATACGATTGGGCGGAGCTGAGCTTACCTGTTTGTTCCCGTCACTAGGATTATCGATTTGTCCTCCAGATCTTCCTCGTGGGTGTAATTGGCCATGATGACAGCTTATTTCGTTCGATGGAACACCGAATCCTCACCCTCGGGCCTTTGGGACGGAGAGGAGCGACGAGGTCCGATCATGTTTGTTTGGCCAGCATGATTTCCGCGCGGGCGGCCTGGCCGATAACTAAGCTCCTTGCTTAGGTAAGTGCCTCTTATCGCAGATGATCAGTGATCATGTGATATGTGACAGTAGCTCAACAGTCGTGAATGCCTCAGGTGTAAATTTCTATGGACGTGCAGTCTCTACAACAATACTGGAAGTTCCATTGACCTCGGCCAAGGGGCACTACCTTGGGAGCCGGCAAATTGTCTCAGTATCATGATGTAAGGTTGATGAGAGTGACATTCTGTATCAGATTGAGCTTACTCTTGTCCGTCCAAGCAAGGACGTCCCACCTGCATTTACTGGAACCTGAGATCCCGAGCCAGAACTCTCACTCCTGACTTCGCCCAGTTAGGCACTGAAATCACCGCCCGCTCGAGAGAGTTCAGGATTGCAGGTGGAGATTCTGCTGACAGAATCACCAAGCGATGCATGGCGTCGTGGGGTATACTCTCACCAAGAGAAGACAAGGAGTCACACCATAGAAACAACAACAAAAACACGGCACCCCGGCGATAACTTACCAGGCGGTAAGGTTCGATCTACTGGCAATCCAACTCCCTTTGGCCGCTGGGTTAATAAGGATGATCATTATGATTGAGGAGATAAACCGATCTAGTCGGGGGCTGGGTCGTATTCTTCCTTTTGAGGATGGCCAAAGCGCCCGCTAACTTCAAACTGCATGCGACGATATGGAGCCGCGCGCGATGGCATGGCATGGCAACGCCATGACCATGAGGCTATTATGACCGACTGACTCCATCGTCTCTCTCTCTTGACAGTTGATCTGTCAGCATGAAGGATTCTCCTCATGCGAGAATCACCAAAGGCGGAGAAACGCAATAAAGTATAACTAACGAATCCCGACGGGCGGTTCCCCCCCAATCCCCCCCTCCAAGCAGGGAGTTGGGCGGCAGCATCATCCTTTTGAGAAGTTAAAATGTTGAACCATGAGATGAGATGAGAGACAGTTGGTCTTACTTACTTCCTTCAGTTCCTTTTTTGGGTCGAAATCGATGCGCGATGGCCGATTCCTGGACCTGGACGAGCCGTTGAGGCACGGCTATAGTCGGCCCCTGGACGGACTCTGGAAGGCTGGCCTCTCCTTAGTCCTCGTCGCATATGATCTCTCAGACCGCGGGACCCTTAAGGTTCATCGTCTGGGTGAAAAGGATGCATAGAAAGAGTGAAGAATCTCTCCGTTGGCTGGAGAGCAGGTGACAGGAGGCTCAACTGGAAAATTGGGAGCACAGTCCCCCTGATCGCTGGCAGCTTATACCTGAGTTTCGGCAGCTAGGATTACGCAACCGATCACCAGGTGATTTAGTTGATGGGATGCTGATAAATGAAAATTGATTGTTGATGTACGTCATAGACCAGATTAAAAGAGACTCGAATCTGCAGCTTTCCATCGTTTCTCTTTGATCTAAATGAGGCCATGTAACTGTATCGTACCTATGGGATTAGCGAAATGAAGGAGGTGGCCATAACTTGGAAGTTACGTTAGCGAGTGGTATACCGGTACGGAGTAGTATGAGTATGAGTATGAGTAGTGCGGGTGACTCTCAATGGTCGGCCCGGCCGGGTGGGAACGAAACCCAGACAGGAGTTTGAAGTAAAACACAGCCACTGCCACTCGGCGTACGTTGGAGACTTAGAGTTCATCAAAAAGATCAATCAGATCGTGACACTCCTTAGAGACTCGAGTCACTCAACAATTTTATTTCTTTACCAGCATCATCTGCTAATCTGACCGGCTGGGCTCGCGATAACGGCAAATACCAAACAAGGAAGGAGTCTTTTGAACTGGGTAGGTAATGTTAAGTGTACTATATTTACTACTGAGTACTAACTTATCTACTACTGCTACTGCTACTGCTGCCTTCTGAATCTATTCATTGTAAGCGAGCCGACGTAGTCGCTCCAATCGACGATTTGCCTGTGATCTCCTTCATCCTCATCCACCCATCCATCCACGGCGATATTCGCAATCACCTATTCCAGACTGTATAGGGACCCGCGCCTGCAAGGGGTGGGGGGGAGGCTGCTCACAAAAAAAAAAGAAAAGAAAAGAAAAGAAAAGAAAAAAGAAAAAAAGACAAAAGATCCTCCCATCCTTCTGTTGCTTTCTTGCCCCCCTCCCACCCCACGCCTTATCCGGGGTCTGCTAAGAGTCGCTAACGCCGAACGGGAGCGGTCTTTGAGGAAGCACGGATGAGATTTGAATATCGCAGACAATTCCTACCGAGCGAAAACGGCTCCGTGTGATTGACGGAGACTCACCGACACTTCAGATTGATTCCCGATCACGACCAGCATGATGACCCCCCCCAAAGGTTCCACGACGATGCTAAATCACCGGTGAACCTCCTAAGTCATGCCCCTTAGTCCCTTGGTGACTCGCCGTGGCGCTGCTGGTGGGAACGGCCAAAAGAGAACAAAAAAAAAGGTTCTGGATGGTCAATCAGAAGCCAATCACACCTCCAAAACGCGCTCTTGGCCGCCATAAGGCTACTAGCTAGCTAGCCAGCTACTCCTAGGCATTTGCCAATTATCCCATGATTTATGCATTGGTAGATTAATCGAGATCACAGTTGTTTCTCATTCGCTCGATTGCGGTCGCCATTCGAGATCGCAAATACCGTGGACGTTCCAGTTTGCTCTTCTAATTTCCCTTCTTCCCTGAGCCCGCCGGGCCGAGAGAAGCCGTTTGGTCCAAGATTGAAGCACAACGGTGCGTGGCCACACCGGCACAGTGTACTGTACTCGAGTAGCTCGCATCGACAGGGCGTTTTATCCAACATGCAAATCGGAGATTTATTTCCTGGGTACTAGCCATTAGGGGCTATCACTCGTCCGATGCGCGCCACACGCATGTACTGCATGTCTAGCATCATCCGAAAGGCGACCGCGGCTGCTCAGTCTAACGCGGCTTCGGATCCTATGCAAGTTGACACCAAATGCGAATCAATAGTCTTGAGTCCTCAGGTCTTGAGGTCTTGCAGTCTTGTCCCTCGGGTCAGTAAGCCACCGATGGATGGGGACAAAAGCGGAGATAAGTCATGCATCTTTCTTCCACTACATAGGTAGTTACTCGTACATGCATACATGCCTCCATTCGAGGGCAGGAGACCCAGATCTGTCTTGGGAGCTGCATTAGTATCCGACGATTAAGGCATCGATATTCGACCCGAGGCAGGCGAGCGAGATAACCTCGCTATACTATGGGTTGGAATTTGGTTCCGAGGAGCGGCTAGAGCCACCTTTGTTGGAGACTGCTGCGAGTCATACGCACCTGTCCAATAGACCATAAATGACATGTGTGGAATAGCTACTATTCAGGCAGTAGGTAGAAAGTATGCGTAGTGGGGACACCATGATGGGTGGAGTTTGTATGGCTCGTCTCCCTCTGGGAAAAGAGTAGACTATGCGGAAGATACGGATACTGTAGCCTGGAATCCAGAGAGCTAACAACATCATGAGACGCATACCATTTCGACGCCTTGGCTTGAATTGGGCCTGATGGGCAGCAATGCAAAGCAGAGAAACCGGTCAGCATCTTTTCGCCTAGCCTCAGGCCAGAAGCCACTCTCCTCAGCTTTCTCCCAAATCGATTGCACCTTCGCTGTTTTCATCCACGACTGGCCACCCCGGCCATCTCCTCATCTCCCCGTTTTACTTTTCTTGTCACATGGGTGGTGGTTTTTCTCGCTATTTTTTTCTTCTCCAACAGCAATAGTCTCAATTGTCTTTCGCCCATCGCGCACCAGAGTAAAAAAAAAAAGGAAGCTTTCCGGGAAATGCGGGGTATTGATTGACCCGTCACGCATTGAAAGCCCATCTAACCAATGAATACTGACATGTGCTGATGACAATTGAGGAAGTTTCAAGGCAGATGGACTCCCATTTGAACTGGAGAGCGCATGAAAAAAAGGTATCTCAGCCAGTCAGTCTACCAAGCTTAGGTAGACCAATTCTTAAATAGTATGTGCATAGTACCATATAGCTAGGAACCTCAGTATCGGTTATCATCAGTTATCCATGGTTGAGGTAATACCAGTGAAGTTGTGCATAAATCCACCTACACCCCTCTCTGTCAATCTAAACCCCGGCTGAAGAGCCAGCCAATAAGCGATGCTGTTTGAGGTTGAGGCCCTGGTAAGCAAATAAGAAGTTATCTCCGGAAGAGGGAGGGGGGAGGATGCAGTGGGATGGATGTCCCCTGGCCAGTCTAACCAGTAACCACTAGTCGCTACCTAGGTAGTCTATTTTTGTAATCCAATTTTCCTCTCAGTCACGGTCTCACCCGCTTCCAATAACTTCTCGGCCATACGACGACGAGGCTGGGATCCAGGATCATATCTCAGCGACGACTCGCCTACTAACTAGTCCGAACTAGTTTGCACAACCATGAAAATTACTGGAGTGGGGTTAGTGTCATTTACCCGCTCTCCCGCCCACCGCCGTTATTCGGTCCTGCATCGCAACCCTCTCTTCATTTTGAACCTCCCAATTCCCTGATCGGGACTAGTAACAATCACGAATCTTACTGGGCAATTCGACACCAACTCACTCCTCCTTCTCCTCCCCTCCCCTCCCCCCCCTTCTCTCCATGTTGACTTCGGCTAACTCATGCATCTGG